TCTCTCTCTCTCTCTCTCTCTCTCTCTCTCTCTCTCTGTATTTCTCTCTCTCATTTCTTGTTGTTTCTCTTTCATTTTTTGCTGTCTCTCTTCATTTAGGGAGACCCACTACATTATTTCAGGTCATGGCAAAAGCAGAAATGTGGTTCATTCGTTCCTATTGGGATTTGGAATTTCCTCGCCCAACATTGCCGAATATTGAGTTCGTTGGTGGACTCCACTGCAAACCTGCCAAACCTTTGCCTAAGGTAAGGATATCTCTGGTTTGATTTATTTTGCTTTGGTTTAGTTTGATTTGGGGATTTTCATTTTCAAGAAGAATAAATATCCACTATTCAGAGCTTTTATTCGAAATGAGAGAGATGTGGAAAATGACATAAAGTATCCTTCCAGGAGAAAGTCATGTTTCTGTATTTTTGCAACTATTCATATTTCATTAAGATTCCCAAACTGAATGAAGAGACTGATTACATGTAGAAATAATTTGTAACTAGATACTCCAAAGGAATGAAAGGTATCCAAAACAGGTATTAGGTAGTTAAACAAGAATCCAACTCAGGCAACTTAAATTTAGAATTGCTTAAAAAAAAAAGAAAAGGAAAGTTTTTCTAAATTCAGTTACTAGATTTGAGTGTAGGTGGGCAAGACTATGGAAGGAGAAATTTAGGAAATTCTAAGACATCAGAAAAAAGATAATGATAATTAGACTGAGATTTTCTAATGGATGACTATACCTACTCACATAATAAGACCAGCAGTCACATAATGAACTGGGGGAAAGACAGTTAATACACAAGAAAATCTTGAAATACTTTTGGTACTTGATCAATGATCTAGAATAAATGTTGACTATTGATGTTATTGTTAATTATGTTATCACTAATTCTGTTAACTGTCTAATACATGCCAGAGGCTTAACATGTAAACTCATTCAATAGGAGCTAGAATGCAGCATTATATTTTATTTTCAAGCAAAATTACAGAGAGTAGAAGTCCTAATCTTCTTAAAAGTAAGTGAATATATCCAACTATCACCAAAGGAAACACATTATTCTGTTTAAATAGTATGCACTAATAATTTTTTCAAAATATTAGAAACAAAGGAGAAAATGCAGACATTAGGAAGATGAAATGTTAAAATATCATTGCAAGTGTTCAGGTTTCTTTAAAAAAATAAGATTCGTGCATTAAAATAAAGATCATTTCTAAGTGATATAAATTTGAAATCTTAACAATATTTGCAGGCAAACCCCCTGTTTCTTGCTTTTATCTCACCAGTTCCTATTGCTCACTCGAAATTTCAGTTTTATGCTTCAGAGTTCAGAGGGGCTAAATTACTCTGCTGGTGTAGGTGTTTGTGGTTCTCTCAAGTTTTCTCAATTGGACACTGCAGTACAGTTTCTGAGGAACCCAGACCCCTCACCTCTGGAAACAGCCCTGAGATTTGAATTATAATAGAAATCAGTCTCCATGTAGAATAGTGTAACTTATGAAGAAACAAAAGAAAAAATGAATTCAACATTCACATCAAACATTTAAGGCACATTTTAAAGAAAATAACTCCTTAGTCTTTATTGTATATCACCTTCAGAAATTCTCTTTTACCTATCATTCTACTAGCAAGAAGCAAAAATTTTAAAACTTGTTAAATTACAGTCTACTATATATTTTGAATTCAAATTAGTCAGGTTCTTTAAAGTTATTTTTCTGAATCCAAAGATTGAGACAAGCTTATTGAAAGTTCAGTAGAGTATATGCTTATATATGAAAGAATTCCTGATTTCCATTAAAAACACAGGGTTAGTCAAAGTGGGAAAAAAGTACGATGGAAAATAAAAAGAAAAACATAACATTACAATGGCATTGCTTAGTACTAATACCACTGGTTAAAAATATATACATATAAGATTTGCATCCAAATCAAGTAGTATGAAATCTATTTAAAAGAAGTCTTCTCACTAAAATACATGATTTTTTCATTATCAAATATAAAGACAAATTATTTCATAGGTTAAATTTAAAACTTTTGAATAATTTGATGAAATCTTAAAAATGAATCTACCCTAAACTACTTAGAAAAATATAATCAAACCATACAATGTCAACATTAACAGAAATTTATAGTAAAAGCAAATATATATAGTAAATTACATATCCAACTAAAGAATATTTGCTAACACCATAGTAGCCATATAAAAATTTGGTCAGAAATAAAAACAAAAAGACTATAAATGGAAATATTTCCTGTAGGATGAAAAAGAAGCAGAAATTCAATACAATTGCTTACAAACATGGAAAACAAATTGCACGTAAAATTTTAGTTTGCAAAAAGAATACATTTTAGATATACTTTGCACAACAGTGAGAATGTACTTAGAACAACTAGAAAAGCCCAAGTAGCCAAACATTCCATCCTCCTACTTAACCTCCGCCATTCCTCCAATGATATCTGACATAACGTGACTTCTCTCACTTATGATCGAATCTTTGCAACAGTGTTTGTCCCTCCATTCTTCTTTGGTGATGTAGCAAATTCTTTCTTCACAGGAAATGGAAGACTTTGTGCAGAGCTCCGGAGAACATGGTATGGTAGTGTTTTCTCTGGGCTCCATGATCGACAACATAACAGAAGAAAGGGCCAATGTGATTACTTCAGCTCTTGCACAATTGCCACAAAAGGTTAGACAATGTGCCTCAATGTTAGACAAGTGCACAATGAGTTTGTCCAATTCTATATTGTGTCCAATTCGAGGAATTCCTCCGTGATGAATAGTGTTGTAGCTGTAATTTATCTTAGCCAGTTTAGAACCAAGCTATATAAGAGGCAATACTAATGAAAGAGGGAAAGTTTGGTTCCTAATAATTTGGATGTTAACAGTGAAATCAGAAAGAAATCTATTTAATGGTTTAAGTAAGTGAAGTTTTGTTACCATACTATTATTTGTAGGCTTTTCAAAATGGTAAAATCCTGTACAATCTCATTTTCTTATGGGATTTCTAAAGGCACAGAGCAAACTATAGTTGTCTCAGAAAGAGATGAAATCTGAGTTACTGACCTCACTAGCACAAAGCAATATGTAAGTATTGCAAAGAAGGTGATTTTCATCATGGCCTGTATGATTCACAAGGAATCCTTGCCTCATCCTTGGAATTAGGCTGTGCAGCATGCTGTTTAGGGGACTCTTCAGAGAAACCTGGCCAGAGTTTATCAATCCTGAGTAAAAGTACTGTCCTCATCCTCACAAAAATGCAGCCAGATGTCATGATCTGAAACAGGAAGATGTAACAGAAGGTAGAACCATGCTCTTCTGTGAACACAGCACATCAGTGACATATGTCTTGCACAGACATTGCTTCTTTCCACACAGATTCAAGCATGTAGGTAATTGAGGGAGAGCAGGAAAGTGACAAAATTCAAGCTGAATCAAGCCTGAAAAAGGAGGAAGTTCCCTATCTCTCCAGAAAATATAGTAGGCACTAGTTCTCTGTCAAATGGAATATAAATTTAATTGTTAAATACTTATGTTCTACTTTTGTATTTTCTAACACGTGTATTATTTTGTTATCAATGTGCTACTTGCTAAACTGAGAATCAGAAGTTAAACTCATGACTGCACTTGTCCAAAGGAGTATGAAACTATGTAGAAGACTACTATATTGTATTTGTTCTTGACTTTTTCACATTACTTATATTTTCTTGATCTCATTTGATCATCTAATACATATATAAATATATGGAGCACATTTAACTAAGTGATATCTGAACTTATTAAAACTTAGGTATACATTGAGTTCAGTTTTGACAAATACAATGAAATATTTTCTTGATCTATTAGGTTATTTGGAGATTTAAAGGCAGGAAACCTGATACCTTACCACCAAATACTCAAGTGTATGAGTGGATCCCTCAGAATGACCTACTGGGTAAGGTTCTAAAGCACAAACACTGAAGACCCGATAATTTTTAATTCACTTCATGATACTTCAATATAAAGAAAAAACACTTTGACCATTTATTATTAAAGATTTCAAAATTAAATTCAAAACTCTTGTATTCTTTTCCCAGTCTGATGAGAAATAAAGCATAATAGTTTGCATTTTATCATACAATCTCCTCTTTATTGTCAGAAACAATCTTTACCTAGTAGCAATTACATATCACTGAGAATTTTTAATTAATTTTTTTGTATCTCTGACCAACATTGCAAGAAATAAGCCTGCATTTTCCCCCAAAATAGTGATGCTCCAAGGTCAATGTTGATTAATTCAAAATGACATTATATTTTGTCAGAGAAAAATCTTTCACATTGTTTATTATGAAATAATAATATACTTCATCCGATTGCAGTTGCTCCCCTTGCAGCTTTGAACAGTCTTCACATCAGAATTACTGAAAGCACTGTATTTTTTTTAAAAGAAGACAGGTTCTAGCATGCACTAGTTCTTTATCACTTGCTTTGTTTTCTTCATTATGGCTTCTATTTATCCTACTATCATGTACTCATTGTCCACCTCTTAAGTCACACAATATCTCCACCATCAAATCTTCACCTACCAGGAAGTAGATTTTGGTGATTTTTGTTCGAAGATGCAAAGCAAACTAATATCACTAAAAAACGATTGACAGCTATTTCATAAAATATACTTCTCTTATCATGTCCTGATATTTCTCATATTTTGTCTAAGATTTATACTTAATAACATGACTGAAATTCTCCTAATCCCAGGTCATCCCAAAACCAAAGCTTTTGTAACTCATGGAGGAGCCAACGGCATCTACGATGCCATCACCCACGGGGTCCCTATGGTGGGCATTCCTTTGTTTTCGGAGCAACGTGATAACACAGCTCACATGAAAGCCAAAGGAGCAGCTGTTGTGTTGGATTTCAAGACAATGTCAACTGCAGATTTGGTCAATGCACTAAAGGAAGTCATGAACAACCCATCGTGAGTATTATTCATTTTCTGCATAAGATTTTATGTAAATTCTGAATAAAGGAGAAGGGTTCAGTGAGAATCTGAACAGGAACATTTTCATGAATACAAATTTTTACTTAACGCCTGATGAAAATCGTACGTATGCAATTGTGACCTTCATGATGATTTTTTTTTTCGTGGTTTTTGTGGAATTTTACCTAAGGTTTAAACATAATGCCAATAATCTCAAGGAGGGTAATGAAAGCAGAAAAAGAAGGCTTAGTAGGAGCATTAGAAAATTATTCCAACAGAATGTCAGTAGATTTAAATTTACAAGCATTTAAGAGTTGCATTCACCAGGCTACTTTAAACTTACCTTTTTGTTTATTATGATATACAACATGATGATGTGGCTATATACAGAAACAAAGCATTTTCTGCATTATAGCCAGTTAACACATCCATTATCTCCATACTAGTGTCAAACCATTCCAAAACGGATTTTATTCCTTAAACCAAAAAAGTATATATCATATCAAAATCCTACTGTACTTAAACTTTCCCTAGTGATTTTAGTTAAAATTTTCATATCATTATACTAATTCTTTGAATATAGCCTGTAATGTCCTCACTAGAGTCTTTCCTAGTCCATTAAAATTGTGTCAAGATTTGAGAACTTTCTAAAAACAAGCCCTCCCACTGCTCTTTTTTTTGGGGTTTTTTTTTTTGGTTTTTCTCCGGTACCGGGAACCGAACTCACGACCTTGCGCATGCCAGGCAGGCCCTTTTTGCCGCTGAGCTAAATCCCCAGCCCCTCCCACTGCCTCCATTCATTAAAAAATGAAAAAGCTGCCTCCATTGCTTTTGCTCCCATGTAATGCTATAAAACATTGTTTTTATGCTTGGTAAATTCATTCCATATTCTACTCTGTTTTGTATAATAGTCATTCCAACAACAATAATAAAGGTAACAGTGATACTATTTGAAAATTGTTGACCAGTTCCAGTAATCTAAAATCACAATACCGAGACAATAAATATCAATAATAATGATCACAAACATTTAATGAGCTATCAGCACATGATAAAATCCTCCAAAGAATTCCAAAATCAGCATATTGCTCCTCATAGTCATCAGAGAAAAAAGCAACTATGCCTTTCCTGAGCATTTAGAAAGAAAAGGTAAGACATTTATTAAAAGCACAGGAAACCAGGGTCCGAGTAAGGATAAAAGAAGACAGCCTGCTTTGTAGTGTTCATCACTTGTCCAGTAATAAAATTTTACCACTTGGATTTTGTCATAACCGCCTTATTATCAATGTTCCTCAGATATTTCCTCTGTCCTTAACATGGATTTGCCTTCTTACTGCCTGTTGTGATAACTACTGGAATTTCTACCACCCATCCCATTAATATTCAATTACTCTATATACATCTCTAAATCCACAAAGTAGAGTTTTGATTGATATTGTTTTAATTAACACATACCTGTTATTTTATTTGAAATAGTAATTCTCCTAGTTTTCTTCCACACGTGTTCAAACCTACATATTCAAAAAGTTCAGAACCATAGTATCTGTAACATATCAGTGAAGAAAACTATGGACAAGTTTTTTTTTCAATATTATCAAGTCTACATATATTTATCTAAATAATATGCATATATTTTTTCATTCAGTTTTTAAGTTGATGTCTCCTTAAATTTTTAGCTACAAAGAGAATGTCATGTGGTTATCAACCATTCACCATGACCAGCCAATGAAGCCCCTGGACCGAGCAGCCTTCTGGATTGAGTTTGTCATGCGCCACAAAGGGGCCAAGCACCTGCAGCCACTTGCCCAGAACCTCACTTGGTACCAGTACCACTCTTTGGATGTGATTGGCTTTCTGCTGGCCTGTGTGGTGACCATTACTTTCCTTGTCATGAAATGTTGCTTGTTTTATTATTGGAAGATTCATAAGATAGGAAAGAAGAAGAAGGAATAGAACTCATTGAGACCTATAGGTGGTAGGCATGTTAAGCCAGTCTATTGTATTTTAATCAACCATTTTAGATCAAGGTATAGGAAGATGGTCCTCAATGTTTTATAAAACCATTACCTTCCTGATTTGCTATATATTTTGTTTCAGTGAAACATTAAAGAATGTTCAATTCTATTTCATAATTCCTGAAATAATTCCAATTTGGTGTTTGATCACGCATTTTATCATACCTTTTAAAAATTAGCAATTATTGAAACTTCTGGTTGAAAAGAGCAGAAAGAATAAAGTTTTATTTGCATTTTTAAAAGTAATATGTCTTTGAATTAAATGGTAACAAATGTACTCTCTTGGATCTGTAAAGGAAACCAGATGGAACTCTGTTAAAATTGGCAAGATCTATTCAGACTCTGAAATGGGAGCAAAAAACTTCAGTTTAAACTTACATCAAATTATACTCAGGCAAATGTGACTGGAATTTTTGTAAAACTTTAAAGAAAACATGGGGCAAGTGCTGATGTCCTCATGCACTACGACAGTTGGCAGGATTATAGCAAGTTTGGCAGCAACTTTGGCAACTGTGTAAGACTGTGTCTTAGAGAAAGGAAGGGCAAAAAGATTTAAGATATTGTATGTATGGGCACCAAATACCCAAAATGAAGGTAAAATTTCTGTCTTCAACGTTGGTGAAGGATAAGAAGAAGAAAAAGGAAAATGGGGAAAGGAGATTTATAGACAGTAAAGGACATGAGTGAGAAGGTTGAGAGAGGTTAGTAAAAAAGAAACAAGCTGTGAAGTGTACATGGACTTACTTCTCAAGGCGAAACTAAATTAATGTACTACAAACATACTAAGAAAATTAAAATTAAACAAAGAAAAAGAGTAGAAGATATAGCTCAGTGGTGGAGTATCAAAAATATGCACACCCTTTCATTCAATTACTAACTGTAACTGAGTAACTTATGATATCTTTGGGTAGAAATAAAAAAGATGTTTTCTACACAGCTTTGAATACTCATAAGTTAATATTCTACACTTAGTAATTCTAAGGATTTTGTTTGAAAAAGAAAATAAATGTTTACAACTTTGTACATGGAGATCATATTTTTTATGGGCTGTAAAATTTTATTTTTCTAAAAACTATTAGAATTATTGATTGCACAGGAGTATTGGGATAATTAATACCACTATCTAAACATTTAAAAAAACATAAGAAGTTACATTTTATATAAAATATGCTTTTATATACTTGATAATATTATCATATATTATGATTTTTTACAAATCTTTTCAATGGTGTTTCATATGCTGTAGCTCTTTTAAGATGGAGCACAATCTTCTTTCACAGAAAATGGAGGATTTTGTACAGAGTTCTTGAAAAAATGGTACTGTGGTGTTTTGTGTGGATTCACTGTTCAAAAACTTTTTTTTTTTGTTTTTCTCCAGTACCGGGAACCAAACTCACGACCTTGCACTTGCCAGGCAAGCGCTTTTGCCGCTGAGCTAAATCCCCAGCCCCCACTGTTCAAAAACTTGATGTAAGGGTTAAGGAGATAGCTCAGTGGTGCAAGCACCTGCCTGGCAAGCACAAGGTCCTGAGTTTGATCCCCAGTACCAAAAAACAAAACAACAAATGAACAAACAAACAAAACAAGAAAACGACATAAGAAAATGCCAATGTGACTGCTTTGGCCTTTTCTCAGAGCCCATGAAAGGTTATAGAAATTGTCTCAAATGTGAGCAAACACTGACTGAGTTTCCTTAACTGATGTGTCTAATTGTAGATTTTTATCTTGTGACAGGTAAACTACTATGATAGTAATTTATCTCAGGTGAAAATCAATGAGCACACATAACAGATTTAAAAAAGCACAGATATATTTTTGTTTTATGGTAACATTGGAGTGAATCATGTGATAACAAAGAAATTATTTAACAAGCATTTTGGTTGTACTGTATTACTGTTAGCAATAATACAAAATTGTATTGTACCAGAAATCACAAAATTTTGCCATCCTTCACTTTTCCTTGTGGGATTGTTAAGACTACTTCAGACATTAACAGTGTTTCAGAACAGGACTAAATATCATTTAATAAATCAACCAGTACAATAACATGAGGAAGGTATCCAAAAAGTTTGAAGTTTCTCCTACAGTTCAGCCTCTCTATGAGTATAATCTTGGAAAAAGCAAGAAGGACGTGGAGCATTGTTTCTGACCTGCTTCTATCATACCTGATACTATGGCCAAGGAGTAGTGAGGTCAACCAGGATGGGCTGCCCAGATGACTAAAGCAAATGGATCAAGGGGGGCTGTAGTGACTCAGGCCTGAAGCATGGCTTGTAAGCAGAACACGTTTGGAGGGAATAACCGACTTCCCTGCTGTGCACATGAAATTGCCTAGTCCACATGGTGAAACTATGGGTTCTCAATGAGACTTGAACTGGAGTGTAGAGGGGGCTGTAAGGGTGCACTGAGTTCATGCTTTAAACACTTTGGAAAGTTTTTCTTTGTATTTGTATTTATATTTTATAGTAGTTGTTTATATTTCCTTCTTTGATTATGTACAGCTGAATGGTTTTTTTGTAATTATATTATTCTTATATTGTTTGGTTCTTGCTTTTTCATTGATGAGATTTTCTTAATAACCTTTATGCTTCATTGTTTACCCCTTTGACAGGTTACCTCTTTTAGCATTCTGCTTCAGGTTTTTCACTTTATTCACTTTTAACACTTTTTTCTTGCTTTCACTCTCATCTCAGCATGCTTAGGTGCATCCTGATACCAGGGATGTAGGCGTACACATTAGAGAGTAAGTGATAAGCAGTGACACAAATTAAAACAAAGAAATGGCAATGTAATTTCATTTTATTTTTTTTATTTTAAAGGTAAAAGAAACAAAATATATTAACAAACACACAGACACAAATAAAACAACATAAAAACAATAAAAGCAATACAGAATTTCAGACAAGATGGTAGGAAATTAACAATAGCAGTTGTATTACATATTGTAATTTTCAAATTGGTTACTTAGATAAATAAATATAGGCATGAAAGACTGATAAAAAGATTAAACATTAACTGTTCCTTTCAATAAAGCAGTACAAATTAGTAGTACAATTATATTAGCTTTCTCCTGTGTTTGTGAATATGTATATATATTCATATTTTTCCCTTCTTTCTTTTATCTTTTCTCTCATCCCAGTTGTTCTTTCCTTTTGAGCATAACATTTGACATAGATGTTTAAAGCAAAACTAAATACAAATATTTTAACTATTTCCACTAAACTGTTATCTTCCTTAGGTTTTTAAAACCACTTCCATGCTTCTGCATACCTCCACCTGCCTACAAAATAACAATATCAAACTCCATCAATAAAAGCCATTTACTTCACCTATTTATTCTTTTTTTTCATCTTCATACTGGGAATTGAACATAGGACCTTGTGTTTGCCAGGCAGGCACTTATGCCACTGAGCTGTATCCCTGGCTACTTCATCTATTTAAACATTCCAACAAGTTTAACTTATTTTTACCTATTGATATTTTCCTTACCTTCTTTAGATGCAAATGATATATACAAATTTTTTCTCTTTTCTTTGTCCTTATCACCACCTGCCTCATTAAAGCTGCACCACAAATACCAGCACATTTTATGTTATTCTCATATGACTTAAAGAACAAAAATAAATTTTAATATTTATCTTTAATGTATGGCTTGATTTGTTGATGTATAAAAAGAACGAGTGAATTGAAGAGTTGGTTCTTTGAAAGAATAAATAAAATTGATAAACCCCTAGCCAATCTTATTACAAAGGTAAAGAAAATAATCATATTCATACAATAAGGAATGAAAAAGGTGAAATCACTATAGATCCTGTGGAAATTCAAATCCTCAATATCTACTTAAAAATCTTTACTCTCATACTATGGAAAACACAGAAGAAATGGACAGATTCCAAGAAATGTAAGAATTACCAAAGATGAATCAAGAAGATACAAAAATTCTGAATAAGCCAATATCAGGCAATGAAATGAAAAATGTAATTACAAACATATCAACAAAGCCCAAGTCCTGATGAATTCACAGCTGATTTTTACAAGAAATTTAAAGAAGATTTAATGTTAATACTCTTCAGACTCTTTAATGAATTTGAAAGGGAAGCAACTCTGCCTAACTCATTCCTGGAGGCAAGTATTACCCTGATGTGAAAATCAGAGAAAGATCCAACCAAAGAAGAAAAGTGCGGAACAGTCTCCCTAATGAACACAGATGCAAAAATCCTCAATGAAATGCTAGTAAACAGAATGCAGCAAATCATCAAGAAGATTATACACCATTACCAAATGGGAGTAATGCCAGGAATGTAGGGATGATTCAATATATGCAAATCAATAAATGTAAAACACTATATCAACAGAGTCAAAGACAAAAACCACATGATCATCTCAATAGATGCAGAAAAACTTTTGCTAAAATCCAACATTCATTCATGATAAAAACTACAGAAAATCAGAATCAATGGTCTTTAACTCAATCTGATAAAAGCTATCTATGACAAACCAACAGCCAAAATCATATTAAATGGTTAATAAATGAAAATGTTCACTCTAAAATGAAGAACAAGACAAGGATCTACACTCAGTCCCAACCAACAGTGTGGCACTTTTGCACCTAGGTCACTGTTAGTCATAGGGAGATATAGGAAGGACATCACTGACTTATTGCCTGGTTTCAAAGGCTACACATCAGCCCCTTTGCATGACTGATTTTCATTGCTTAGAGCCATTCGAGGTGATAGAGTATTATCCCAACCTGCTCTGTACATATCAGTACTTGGAATTAAGCCTAGGCTTACCCAAGATAGAGACAAATGCTCCACTTTCAAGGAGATCCGTTCCAGTCATCTTCCACACAATATTAAATGATGTAATAATATAATCATAAAATATGTTAAAAACATTAGAAGTACAAAAACTCATCCAAGACCTACTAGATGACACTTAGATCCATAATATAAGGTACACTGGTGTTGAAATTACAAGACAGTGCACTGAGGATAAGTAATCAACTTACAGAAATCATAGTAGAAAGGTTCCAAGTAATATGATGAGACAAACTGTATAAGTAAGTGAAGTTTATGGAATGACAAATAACTACAGCAAAAAAAAAGGTTCCCATGATGTAATATATTCACAATCCCAGAAGTCCAGCACAAA